CTAGACGCCCTATACTCCTGAACCCCGCGCCGCTCACCCCCGAACCCTATCCATTCGGCCGCTGTCTCCCCCAGCTCTCCCCCAGCTCGCTCTCCCCGCGCCGCCGCTGTCTCCCTCCGCCGCCGCCGTTCTCTCCTCCCCCGCCGTTTGTCCAGATCTGTCGTCCTTCACCACAATACAGACCATCTGCCTCTCCCTTATCCTTTCACCAACACCAACTCCTCTCGCCTTCGAAACCCTAGCCGCAGCAAACGCCATATAGCACCACCGCCGCCGCTCTCTCCTACGCCAGATCCACGCCGTCCTGAGCGAGATCCACCCCATCCTCGTCGAGATCCGGCGTCCTTCTACCCGTCGTGCGCTATGGAGGGGTTCAACGGGGACGGCAACGACAACCACCAGTTCAACGACGACGGCTACGCCTCCGGCTTAGGAGGCGGCTTCAACTCCGGCTACGGCGTTGGCGGCTTGAACTCCGGCTACGGCGACGGCACCTTGAACTCCGGCTTCGGCGACGGCGGCCACACCAGGGACTTCCTGTCCCAGCCGCCGTCGTTCTCCGCTTCCGGTGCGCACACCTCCGCCGGCGTGCCGCCTCCTGGCTTCCCGTCTTCGAGCAACCCCACCCCTAGCCAGCTGAGGCTGGATTCGCTCGACCTCAACTCCAAGCAGTCCTGGGCGGACATGCACGCCTACCAGGGAATCCTGCAGTCCGGGGCTCAAGACGGCGGCAGCGGCAGTTTTGCCCCCCCCTGCTGTGCTCGTGCCTTCACACAGCGGCAGGGGTTCACTGGGCCTTCACCCGCCTCGCGGGGCCTCTGGTAGCGGTGGTGCCGGTGCCGTCCCTCCTCGTCAACGTGGCTCCGCATCTGGCGGCGCTAGCGGTTCCAGGGGCCGCGGTGCATGCCGCCGCCTGGAACCGCCTGCCGACGACGACTTGCCTCCTCCTCAAATTATCAATGTTCTGGTGGCATGCATGCCCTGTTCCTCATGGCCTGTTCCTGTGGTTGTCAAATTGTCATGGCTAGTTTTTTTACTTGTCACATGCAATGCATATTACAAAATGTTACAACATACTTAGTAATACAACTTTGAATGCATATGTATGTTCTGCTTATCATGATAATTTCAGTATCAGTTTCCATATGGTTGCCTCTGGTTATTAAGGCAATTAGGTTATGCATTATTTTAGAGCCGGCTTGACAGGGCAAAGTGGAGTCCTTTCCACACTAAGGTCTTCTGTAAGCTGTACTGTGACCAGATTGACCTCGGCTACTGCAATAGGGGTCAGATGAGCAAGTGGGGTTGGAAAAATATCACAGAGGAGTACTTTAAAGCGACAAAGTTGGTTCATGACAATGTAACCTTTGGCAGTAAGGTCCGAGAACTGAAGAGGGAATGGTCAGCCATACAGAAGCTCCAGCACAAGAGCACAGGATTGGGCCGTTCTGCTGATGGTTCGGTCGATGCTACCGATGAATGGTGGGAGGAGAACAGCGAGGTACACCTTATTCTTAGGTGTCCACAACTCCTAAGTTATCTTCGTACGCTTTCTGATAACCTCTTTGCTACATTCCAGGACAAGGAGTGCCAGAAGATGAAGGATGGGCTTCCTAAGTACCTCCCAGAAATGGACAAGATGTTCCAAGGCGTAGCAGTCACAGGGGAGAGCACATATGTTCCTGGCGGCCGCAATGGGCCACAGTACATTAGCAGTGACGAAGACGAAGATGGCGACAACGGCACTCCACACAGCACTCCACACAGCAGTGGCAGCAAGAGGAGCTTCAGCAGCATGAGCACTCACAGCACTGGTACCAGTCCTAGGAAGAAGTCCAAGAGCCTAGCACTTCGTCAAATGCAGAGCAACATGAGGCATTTGAACGTCATGATGGAGAACAAGGCTGCACGACAATCCCAAATTTGGGCCGACAGGCAAAAAAAAGAGGATGACAAGGAGGAAGCAAAGAAAGCCTGGAGGAAGTAAGTGATACAGATGGCCAAAGATTTGGTGGCAACTATGGAAAATCGTCACTTGTGGGTTGGAGTCCTCAAATTAGCCCGTTCTGAATCTGACATGGACACCTTTGAGGACGCAGATGAAGAAGGAAGAAAAGTCCTCCTTGACCACCTCGCTAGGGTCGGCAACTAGACCCTCTAATCAATGCATGCACCTGTGTGTGTGTTTGTGTGTGGTAACCTATGGCATGAACCATTTGTTGTTGTGAACTTTATTGTGTTGTTGCTCGGTTGATGAATGTTTAAGTGATGTGGTACAATGGATGTGTGCTGTGTGAATGTGAGAGTTGGTTACATGTGCTAAGGTTAGGGTGCATCATTATGTTTGGTTATTGGAATATGTACTGACAACACTTCATTTGTATCAGGAACCTCAACAACCTGGTGCAGCGCTGGATGATGATGATGATAGGAAGCAGCAGTGGGAGGAGGATTTTTTTGGCATGTTGGCAGAAGATGATGACGACGAAATTGCATTGATATATGGTATGTATTCTGAGTATGCCATGCACCTTGACAAGTACTACAATAGGGCAGACTACAGGGTGCCAAAGATGAGTGGGTTGGAATAGGTAGAACGGAAGCTACGCAATGAAACATCCTGCTACAACATGTTTAGAATGACCCCAGATATGTTCTATAGTTTGCATAATCTGTTAAAAACTGAGTATGGCCTGAGAGACACAAAGAAGTCCACCTCTATTGAGGCTTTAGGGATGTTCCTCTGGATTCTAGGTGCTCCACAGTCAGTTAGGCAAGCCGAGGACAGATTTGAGAGATCACTAGGCACCGTCCACTCGATGTTCTATAGAGTGCTCAAGTGTGTGATCAAGTATGCGGACGATATCATTAAACCTAGGGACCCAGAATTTAGAACAAGGCATCGAATGGTGATGAACCATCGGTTCTATCCTGAATTCGAGGACTGCATAGGAGCTATAGATGGCAGTCACATGCCTTGTGTAGTGCCTGCTGATAAGTTTGTACAGCACTTGTGTCGCAAGGGCCTGACAACACAGAATGTCATGGCTGCTTGTGACTTTGATATGATTTTTACATTTGTCCTTGCGGGATGGCCTGGCTCTGCTCATGACATGAGAGTGTTCGATGATGCCATGACTACATGGAAGGATGACTTTCCTCACCCACTCGAAGGTAGCCACCTAACTGTTAGTACATTTGACATTTTTAATTGAAGTATTTAATACTTATAGGTACGTGCTGCTGTAGGAAAGTTCTATGTCGTGGACTCCGGGTACGCAAACCGTCCAGGATATCTGGCTCCATACAAGGGAACCATGTACCATATTCAAGACTTCCAAAACATCGCAGAACCACGAGGTAAAAAAGAGATATTCAATTATGCCCATTCATCGCTTAGAAATGTCATTGAAAGGGCATTTGGAGTTTTGAAAATGAAGTGGCGCATATTGTTGCAAATCCCTTGCTATCCTGCTAGAACGCAAACAAAGATTATAGTTGCTTGTATGGCTTTGCATAACTTCATCAGATTGAGTGGCCTCAACGATGTTGACTTTGGGCTGGTAGATGAAAATGTTTCCTATGTGCCGCCAGAGGCCTCGTTTGATCAGCCTGAAACTGTTGATGCCCCTGACAGCGAAGATCGTGCACAGATGAATGAGTTTCGTGATTATATTGCGGAGCACCTGTACAATAGGTTGTGAGGACTTATATTTCATTTGTAATTGCTGAGAACTTGTAATAATGTTGCTTGTGGAGGACTTGTATTTTAGCTTTATTTGCTGAGAAGTTGTAATAATGTTGCTTGTGGACTGTAATAATATGTGGGTCTGTTAGTGCTTGCGAACTGTTTTGTGTGTGTCATATGCATGTAATGTATAGGATGCAGTAGCAAATGTATAGGATGCAGTAGCATGCTGCATGCATGCGACATGCAAATCTTTGAATAAATAGGGGCAGTTCTGTCTTTGACCAAGCTTATTTATTGCAATGCAAAGAGTTGGAATTTTGAGTTAGAAAACTTTGGGATGAAAACTTTCTAACCCCTGGTGGTTAGAAAAATTTGGGTTAGAAAAACTTGCAATCTACGCTGTAAATCCTCCTCTTAGTTAGACAATAGTCCACCACAAGATGTTAGTATGTACTTTATGTTTTTTTTACAATATAAGCGGTTTGGCAGGGATCTGCAGTGTATATATGGAATATTGGATTAATTTGGAGTGAATTAAGTTAGTGCATTAAGGACATTAATAACGCTGACATGTATGGGAGGCAGGATTTAAATCTCGGCTACGTTTTCGGGAGAAGAGGGCTTTGGAATGCTGGTAGTTTTCGTTGTTTCAAATCTCCAACCGGAAATGGAAGGGTTTAGAGTCAGCTTTGAATGACTGCTTGTTTTTTTGTTGCTGATTGAGTTTCCAATGTATATTTTGAAATTGCTTCGATACTTAGCTGGGAACTAAAAGAGAACTATTTTAAGCAGAGAACTAAGATCAGCTATACAAATTTTAGTAGCAACAATAATTATAGTCAATTCCTGATAGGAACTCACTGTCACTCCATTTGACTTAGTTTTTATTTTATTCTACTCTATCTACGGCTGCTTATACCATCCTACTCATAACATTCTTCTAATTTTCAATTCGGTTGACTGTGACCAATGAACAACAGGAACAAGTACTCACCCGAAAAAGGGGAAAAAATGGACAAGAAGGAAACAAGATACATATGACAGACAAGTCGGCAACAAACACAGATTTTTTAATTAGTTCCATGAAGGAACGATGCAAGTAAAGATGAACTACATGATTACATTTACAAACCCTTGCTTAAACACTAATCAGCTGGCCATGCATATGATTAATCAGAAACAAAATGAATCACTATCAGGGAGCAGCAACATAGATAATAGAGCATCATATTCGCACTTGGATATACTTGTCTTGATTAACAGGCAGGCACACCAATGGAGAAATGAACCCTATGGAGATAGAGCTGATCTAGAGCCTGAGATTCAGGTCTATCTTGCAACTTTGTGCATCCTCCTGTTGCGTCGTCACTTCATGTGTGACGCCAGGGTCGCCGCTGGCGGCAGCGTCACTGTCGACGGCGCCGGACCACTGGAGCCCAGCCATCCCAGAGTCGAGGACGCCTGGGGCAGGGGCCCTCGACGAGGAGCCGTAGCCGTAGCCGTGAGGCGTGTAGAATGGGCGGTCGACGCTGGTGTGGCGGGTGAGCCCCGCCATAGATCGGTATGTCTGCGCATGCGCGGCCCACCCGTGGTGCATGCCGTAGAACGACGCCGCGACAGAGCCCCGTCCGAACCCAAGGAACGACGACGGCCAGCTGCCGCCAACGGAGTACGGCCAGACATGTTGGAAGCGAAGGTGGTGCGGCGGCAGGAAGGGGTCCGCACCTCCGTACAGCCCGCGCCCCGCCTCAGCTGCTGCGGCAGCGGCCGTGGCGGCGCCGCGCTTGGCGAGCGAGCGCTCGCGCTTGTGCCCGTTCTGGTGGCCACCCAGCGCCTGCGAGGTGTAGAACTTACGCTGGCAGTAGTTGCACTTGAACGAGCGCTTCTTCTCCACACCACCAGACGCCATTGCCGTCCCCGTCGCCAGCGCCTTCTCCTCCTCCGCCACCATTGCCTTCTCCTTACCTTTTCCCGGCGCCACTGCCTCCATGGCCTTTACCTCTGGCGGTTCCGAACCGAGCGCGCCGAGGAGGTCGAGCTCCTTTGCCGACAACGCTTCCTCCTCCTTCCCCGACGCCTGTACCTCCTCCTCTCCGTCCTCAACTTGCTGCACCCGCATTCCCTCAACCTCCATGGACGCAGCACGGGAGCTCGATCCCTTGTCCATATGGATCTCGTTTCACTTTGCACTGTGTGGAGTTATTGGCCGGGGTTTGGTCCGTTTGGCTGGGCTTCACTTTACTAGGGAAGTCATGTTTTTTTAGCTCCACGAACAGTTTCACCGGTGGAGCTGAAGCAGTTTTGGTAAACCGTTTGATAAAATGACTTTCCTGTGAGAGCATGTTTTTAGGGGCTTAGGAGCCAGGAGAAGCCACTTTTTTTTTTTGTCCATTCCACACTAAATTATTGTGAGAGCATGTTTTTAGGGGCTTCACCAGTGAAGCTATTTCACTTTACCCCGTTTGGCAGAAAACGGCTCCAAACGACTCCTGAAGCTGGTGGAGAAACCCTGCCAAACGGGGCCTTATACAAGAAGGAAGGGGGTCAAATGTGGAGATAATCAAGAGGAATGCAAGTTCACCTGCCAAATTTAGAGATCACGCCCGATCACAGGTGTTAATGTGATGGAGATCACCACCTTAATGCTCAGTAATCATCCATCCGATCTCTATTGATCTATCTGTGTATCTGCCTCTATCTCTATCCTTCTCTGCCAACCGGCTGTTGGTGCATGCAGGATGTGAAGTGAATGCTTGCCTCTTTCAGTCTTGCAACTTGCATGGAGAGGTTACCAAAGGTTTCCTTAAGTTTTGAACTAGATATGCAATGCATGCTTTGACGACGTCTCATTCAGGTGGATCGGAGGGGCGCAAATGGCAATGGCGCCTTCTTCTCAGCTTCGTCATGAACTGTTTTTTTTTTCCGAGGTTTCATTGATCAAATGAAATCGGCAAGCTAGCAGGGAAAATTTACTGAATGAGATATATGACGTGGAGTGGATTTTATAAAAGTTTTGGATTAAATAAATATATATATAGTGTCATGTGCTGCTTGTATCAAGCACAACACCACAGCACTAACAGTTAAGGAAATGTCCCCCTTGTCATTCTTACTTCTAGCTTGCAAAATGTCCTAACTTATACTGTGTACTTTCAAACCTGTTATCATCAATCTTATAAGTGAAAAGAAAAGTTGCACAATGAACCACATCAAAGTATGGAGGCCAATTAGTTGATGTTTGATATCATACATGGAACTTGTTTATTGTACTTCATACATACACTATTCGGGGCTAAACTTTTTGAGCATATATCAGGCTCACTTAATATTGTTTAGTGACTTTTTTTCCAATATGAGCAACATATAATTTCACATGCATTTGCTTGTGTTCACAGAACGTGCATTGGCACTTACATGATAATGTACTTGTTGGCAAACTCCAGCTTTTGGAACTAAAGAATTGATGATATACTGATTAAATTTAATCTTCTCTTTTATGGTGTTCATATTATTTGATTGTTTCATGATGTTCTCGTGGATTCTCATGAATGCCCTTGTTTAATATAAACATGCCTACTGGATGAAAATGCGCTTGTGACAACTTTCTTATCTGAATTAAACTTAATGAACTATATGGTGATCAGAACATGCCGTGCATGGGTTGGTACATCTTCTTGATAGAATTCCTATTTTAAAGCAATATCATGGTGCCTAGAATAAAATGAATTGTATGAAACAACTTCTGTAGCTTCATCGAGCTCAAGGTTATCAGGTTGCATTGTTTCATAATGTAATGAATCCTTCCCATGCATGTGTTTTGCACATCTTATGTGTCATTCCCTAATGAGATGATTAGCTAGGGTGTTCATTTCAAGCATTTTTTTTGAACTAGTATCAATGATATATGAAGCAGTGATCATAGAGAAGTCGTTAGGTTTTCTTGAGAGCTATTGAGGCTTCTTGTACTTGTATGAACACTCAACAACAACATCAATCACTCAAAGACTAGTTTATTGCATGTGTGTGTCAATTAATTGCTCATGTTATTTTCTTGTGTAGATATGAATTTAATCTAACTCATGGATATGTTTCACAAGGAGTTCAATGTTAGCATAGATTTTCAGCGACTTCAAATACTAAAACTTACACATGATAAAGTTGAAGAATAGCTATATCAATATTATATCTTTATTTTTCATGTAGGTGATCACTTGTAGTTTAATAATCTATTTTCTTACATTATTCTATTAGTCTTAGGCCTTAATCACTTGAGAAGGAGATCTTCCCCAAAGTGAACTAGAGACTTGATTAGAAAACACTTGATGTACATAAACATGTTAGGGAACATGTGCATGCAAAACTAACATGACAAATTAACTATTAATTAAATATATAGAGAAGGATTAGAAATAATAAAAGTTGTTCCATTAGTATGTGTCATATGTAGTCAAGTTTTATGTATTTCATTTGTCTATTGGCATTTATAGTTTAGCCAACTATTTTACATCATACTTTTCTTGCTTTAGAATTTTGATTATCTAGTAAGAGGATTCTCCATGCAATGAATTGTAGAGATTTTGAAATACTCGACTTCCTAACTATGTCAAAACAAAGGTAAGACATGTTGCATCACCATTTTGAGTTTGAGAGGTAAACCTATGTATGGAGATGGTTTACAAATATAACTACTTTGTATTTTTCATGTGCAATCAAGCTTGCCAACGCATCATGTATTTGTATGTACTTTGTGCACTAACCTTTTCTTGCAGTTTGAAATTGACTATGACCTCTTTATTTCAAAAAATTCTGAAAATATTTAGCTTTCCAATAAATTAAGTTTCATGGTTGCATAACTACATGATGATTTTTGCTTCAGTGAGTCACATATTTGATAATTGCGTACATCTTCCACAAACAAAAATTCACAATAGTGAGCAAAGGTGGTCATGATAATTTTAGGTTGGACTTCACTAGCTCATCATGTAGAATTAGGGTTAGTGCCAAATATTGGCTTTGATATTCTCATTTTTATCCACCTTTGTTAAGTAGTTGCACAATAATTATTTGTTATAGAATCTGTGGTACAGCAAGCAGCCCTCTCATGGCTCCGCTACTATGTTGGTTTATTTTTATAAAAAAATTGAACATCCTATGATTAGCTACTTGGAGTCATAATAATGTAATCTTTTAAAAACTACTTATGTGGTTCACGCAGCTTGTAACTTGTATATGTCCCAACTTACTAGATAGACATAGATGCCCTCTAGAGAAGGATCAAGTATTTCAACCGGAGTGGTCGGCCTTTTTTTGGAATGTTGCAAGTTTCTTAAAAACCTACCCCCTAAGGCATCTTTAATTTGCCTAGGTTTCTAGCTATTAAACATACCAACAATAATGGTAGGACTAGGTCCTCAAGTAGTACAATTGCCTATGTTCTCCATAGCACCACAATTAATACACAAAGTGGCCTAAAAAACTAAACCACATGGCATTGCAATGCTCAAGCATTATATTAAACATGTATGGTTTAGGTTACAAATGTTTGTTTGTAGTGCAAGAAATTGAATTTGACTTAAAATACCTAAGTGTCATAGTTCCCTTTTCCATACTAAACATTAGTGCAAATTTATAACTAGTTAGAATAATTGTCTAAACATAATTGTTTGTAAAACCATGGTTTAGTTAAATGCCAAAGAATACAATGATCACTTGATTATATAATATTGCATGCCAGACAAAGAAATGTTCTATAAACCCAAATACATATGAGTATTTGAAACACACATGTGCGTGTGTGCGCAATACATCTAAAGAGGTAACAATAAAATATATGGTTAATGCCACTTGGTTAAAAAAACTCTCAATATCTTAAATTAATTAGACACAAAATATTGAAATCCTACATAAGTTAGTTGACAACTCTAGAGTTCCAAGTGAGTATAGGTTTCTTGTTGACCTTAACACTTCTTTAATCCATAATTTTAATTGTTTTCTACTTTGTATAGAATATATATTTATTTCCTTTAAACATTTGGACTTTTAGTAGCCTTAGTATACTATTCATGTATGAGGTGAAACTTTTTGTTGCTTGGAACTATGAAGGAACATTTAATAGAACCTTAAAATGTTGTAGAATAAAATCTTTTAGTATATTAGTGGTATCATTTAGTTCTATAGTAGATAATTATGTAGTATGGTATAATTATTATTAAAACTAGTATAACTACTAGTAAAATCGGTCTTAGTAGAATATAATACATGGTGTGTGTCATTCTTTCAAGAGAACATTTATGACCTTATTATAATATTCTACTACTTCTTCTCATAAATGATGTCCTAGAATGCATGCAGTAAAACTTTTCTAACTTTGGCCCCTGATTTAATCAAAACTATTTGGATAGTTGATGTGAAAATAGTATTATTGGATTTGTTATGAAAATACTTTATTTCATAAAATAGTATTTCATGAAAAATATTATCATGTCATCTAAAATTTTGTGGTCAAAGGTTCATCTATAAAACCATTCTAATTTAAAATGTTAGACATTTACAAGAAGTATTAAGTAAATAAGCCATCATTGTGTCACATTCTTTGGGTGACAAATAATGTTTCAAATCCTAATTATATTTGGTTGGATTTTTATGTAGATTTTGTACAATGTTTTTAATCTAATAAAATGTTTATGTAGATTTTGTTGAATACAATTAATTTACTAGATGATTATAAAGAATGTAGTAATTCTTAAATGGTTTAGAATTTTTATTGTATTGTAAATATAGAAATATTTTTGTCAACAAGAGATTAAACCTGTAGTTGATAGTTATTGATGACACAAATATGATTATTAATTAGAAGAGGCAATCTCATAGTTATTACGTTTTCATTGTTGACCAATGTACCTTAACAATAGATTGTCCTATACACCTTATGACCGCCGCTGTCTAGGTTGAGGTTTGTCAGGTCATGGTCTTGTGTGCTTTGTGGCGTGTCTGTAAGCTCCTGTGTGAGTGTGTAGGGTTAGTTCTCAGGTTGGTCCTTGTACGGACTCATTGTACTCTTTATCTAGCTTAATGAAATGACACGTAGCTCTCCTGCGTTGTTCGAGAAAAAAAAGTTATCCTATATGCATCCAAAAATCTATGGATTAGGAGATAACATACTCACAG